CTGGGGGAGTTTTCTCTCTACGTCAGGGGGTCTTACTTTACTGTAATTGGTTAGTAAGGAGTCGAAAGTTACTAATGTTAGGGGGGACTACATTCTTGGGTGATCCCTTATCACTAGAAGTTAGGGGGAGAGGGATCCTACTGCTTTCCGTGACATCGCGAGATTTTCCGAGCGCCTAACCCTATCAACTACAACCAGGGCTTTTATTTTCCTTTCTACCAAGAAGAAGCAGAACGTGGATAGTTTTATGATGCACCTGGATTTTTTCAGTCACTTGGGTTTTTCTTTCTTCTGCCTGCTAGTGCTTTCCAAAATATTCTCTGGTGACTCTTTCTCTCCACCTCAAATACTCTCCTGTCTCTGCATCGACTGCCATGAGCACACTGTTCTCCTTTTATGAAGATGCCATTCATCCTTCTTCCCCAGGAGGCCCTACAGGATGTTTCTGTTCTCAGTGTGCAGTGATCCTTCACGTATTTAGCAAATCTCCCTCAGCTGGGACATCTGCTCCGTGGTGATAGAGGAGGAAAAATGCTCTGGTTTGGGATCACCTCTGCTTATAGCAGACTCTGCTCCTCTGAAATTAATTTCTAAACCGGAGCAATACTATTGAAGGATTAATGTAAGATTAGAGTATTTATATTAAAATACCTTATAATGTGGAAGAAATACATGTTCTTTGGTTATAACTAGAAGCTCATTTTATCTGTTCTTTTAATTAAAGGTTTTCTTTGCCTAATGCTAATGAAGAGATTGGATTTCATGCAAGTAGGACTAGAGTCTTAGGAATTACCAAGTACTTCATTATTCCAGTGTAAACAATAGTGTGCAGCCCACACTTCACACTGGCGTTTGTTTGAGCTCTTGCATGGATCATCAGGCCCTTGCTGTGACCATCACTTGCCCAAAAAATCAACTATCCCACAGTGACAACTTCAATAACCCATTAGTTTCAGTACATCATGCTCAAAAGGAGATTGCCTAATCTGGGGAAGCTGCATAAAGTTTCCTTTCAGGAGTAGCTGACACTGCAACTAGTGGGCTGGTGTTTGAAATGAAATCTAGACTGGTCTTACATATCTATGTGTGTATAGAGACAGTCACAAGATACATTGGCAAACACGCACTTATGGATTTACTATCATTTTTCTGTCATTGACAAACGCAGGTTGTGGCCAGATTGCAGTGTAAATTTTTACACTCACACACGGACATGCTGATATAGATATTGATTACATAATTATATGGATATAGTTTGTATGGGTTTTAATTAATTTGGAATATTTTCTGGAAAATATCTCCTCCCTGACATACCAGCATATTCTTCTTGGCTAGCCTTTAAGCACTGAGGGTGTATCTGTGGTAGTAGTTTCAGCAATCAATGATGGGAGTCTATAAAATAAATCCAAGAAGTCTGTGATGAGTTTGCTTTGACAAACAGGGTAACAGGAGTCATTACTTGATTCTTTGCTCAGTGTTTCCCACCGTGGGTTGCCATTGAGTTCAACACAGCCATAAGTGTGAGCATGGGTAATGCAAGAGGGTCATTTACACCAACAAGAACAATCTGTACACAATCTGTATTCAGAGTGGCTCAGGCATATTCAGTGTTCAGCTAACTTTATGCTGCTTTACTGAACAGTGAAGAAAGGCCATAGCCTGTTTTGTATTTTTAACCTGCTTCTTGTCTTTGTTATGAGCTGACTCCTTGGCTATTCCCAGTGTGATTGAATGCTTGTATATGAGGCACTGAGGGCTCCAAAATGCTTCTATAATTATTCCATAAATGTCAACATTTGAAAACAATTTAAAAATAATTTCCTAAGATAATTTTATAATTTATATAATTTTCCAACTGAAACAAATGTCCAGAGCCTTAGTGTGTTTACTTGTATCATTATTCTGGAGACATGACACGCCTTTCCCTGAAAGAGAGCTTTGTGCATAAGTTCGTGTAGCATTCCCCCAGTCCAGGGGCAGCATGTAGCAGTGTCATCTGGACAGTGTCCAGGATAAGGTGGAAGAAATCTTAAGGTCTTCCAGCCTCAGATTGATTAAAAGGGTGACAGAGGGTCGAAGCCAGAAGGTTAATCAGAGGATTGTAAACTGTGAATGCGGCATCAGTTATCAGACCCTCAGAAACTAGATGTGTGTCAAGCTGCTGTTAAAGTTTGTATGCCTGATGAAGAAGCCATTCAGTGGAAGGCAGCTCTCTGGAAGCTGCAGAATCCAGCAGCAGATTTATCTGGGCAGTGAAAACAGCTGCAGAAGTTAGGTACTCACAAGGAGGAGCAGCAGCAGGCTCGGTATGCAGAAGGGAAGGTGCGGATGTTAACCAAAGATGTACTGCTCTCATTTCCATGCATTTGCTTTGTACTCCTGTTTATTGCACATCAAACACATTTACATATCCAGGGATGAAAGGGAAATGATTGATGCAAAGGAGGTATTTTTGTTAATTGTTGCTCTGAGTCATACCTGACTGGGACTGCTGGAGATGGGTGAGGAAGGACAGAACTATTATTAGAGGTATAAATAACTGTCAAGAGCAAGTTTAAAATCTGTCTGTTACCACTTGTTAACATCCAAAATTATCTGAAGAGAGGAGGGGCAGCAATACAAGGACTAAGTCAATGTCCCATCTTTGCTGATGTAGATGCTCGCAACTGCCTCTGAGTCTTTGTCCATTTTTTCCCATCTCTGTTTCCTTGGAGTTTCAGTTGTTTTTGATCACAACCCTATCAGGTCCTGCTGGATGTTGCAACAGCAGCTTCTTCTGCTCAGAGCTGATGGGTGTTTGAGAGTTGGGCTGTTTTATCTGCACAGCACTTGTGAAATGCATCCCTCTTTTCCCCTGTAAAATGACAAGTAGTTCTTAATGTGCTCTCATGCATGCAGTGTAGAGCCAGGATGAGATAAGCATCCAATCTGAGAAGAGAAAGCTGTGCCTCAAGTGCCCAAAGACTGCTTTTTCATTGTGGAACAATCCTGCAGAGTACACAGGAGGATTTCTGGTACTTCCTGCTCTGCAGGAGAAGAGGGATTTTAGAAATACCTGTCTATGAAGGGTTGTGTGATTCTTGGGTTCCCTGTTGATGTGGGTGGTGTAAGGAACTGAAGGGGACCAAAACAGCTGATGTGCAATTTGGCTACGTGTGAGCAGCAGTCAGAGGACCCAAGCTCCAAATGAGTCAAGAAATATCATCCTTCAAAGTGTCATCTGACAGATGATAACAGAAATCTTGATGATGCTGATGCATCTTGATGATGCTGACAGAAATCTTGGCTTCCAGTGCAAGTGATAGTGAAAATACATCCGTGACAATCCCTATTTTAAATCCTTCCACCTGTAAAGCTTCTGCTGTGAAATAAGTATTGAAACAGCTGTTTCCATTAGAAAATAGCTCAGGAAATTACCCTGCAGCAGAACATAGTCCATAGTTTGGTCTCATAACCTTATTCTGGAAAGTATATTACAGATCCTGTAGGTGGAAAATTCAGAATGAATATGAATGAAGTATTCAGACCTGTTTCCCTTTGCTTTGCCTACACTGGGAAATATATCTGCATATTTAGCAGTGTATGGGGAAATAAATATTTTTATGGTTAACCTACGATTCATGGAGATGGTGATCTTTGGTGGCAGGAAGTGGGTGATACCTGAAAAAGCAAAGTAATTGTCTTGGAGGTTGTTAAAAATGTTGAGATTTTTCATTCTACTGGAGTTAGTTCTTGTATAAGATGATCCTTCCAAAACATTGGTTTGTTTACAGGTACCTTGTCTTCAGCAAGCTTGCTTCCTGCTTACTTCCTTCATCCTTCTCTGCTTCCTGCTTCCTCTCGTCATCCTTCTCCAGGCTGAGAAAAAGTACTGAGATCAGACTTTTCTTAAGAAATCTTAGGGCTCATGATTTATTAATGTGCAGTTTGCAGTAAGATGAGTCATGCAAACTCACGAGCCTATTTTTATACCCGATCATGTGTTAATTTTAGTCATGAATCTTCTGGTTATTCTAGCTGAGAGAAATCATAAGTATTTCAGTTTTGCTTTGTGTATATGATATCACCCTATAACTCAGGTGAGTTATTATTGAGTAAAACATCCCTCAGTTAAAAAAACCTCAATCTGTGAAAGTTTCCTTGATACATATTTAATTGCAGTCTCTTTCAGATAGCCATAAGTAAGACACACAAACTGAATTTAATAGCAAAAAGATGAACTGACAATGTGAGCTCTGTAGTTATTTTCTCTATTTCAGATCAATATATCTTGGTGTCGCTTTTGTATTCTTGACAGGTGAGATTGAATAATAATAATCCTTACACCAACAAATGCTTTTGTACTACAGGATTATAACTAATTTCAATCAAGCACTTGTCTCAAATTAAGTCATATTAATGGATTTTTGGTCTCTTATTATCTTCACTCCAACCCACTTAATAATAGGGTTTTTCTTAAGTAGGTGGCTCATGCCATTCTTCCACATGGTGTTATTTTTAGCACTTACACCGTCCACATGAAATTGCTTGAGCTTTTCTTAGGTTATGCCCGAGTGCTGTGGGGATTATCAACCCCTGCATCTTGTGAGACGTGCGTGTCTCAGTCCAGAAGAGAAGGGGCAGCATTATTACAATCACTTTTCACACAGTTTCTGATATTGCTGGCGGTTAATACTTCAATGTGGAGGGGAGCACACTTCAGTTAATTGGTTTCTATGTAAAGTAACTATCACTGAGCACTTGATAGGTCAAAGTAATTCTGTTTCTCTGAAAACTGCTTATTTCATTTCATATCTCTCTCTCTGTCTCTCCCAATTTACCTTGTATTTTATTCACAGTATTTACGAAGATTTTACTGTCTCAGAAATAGTCACCTGAAGTGCCTACATTGCCCTGGAAAAAGTGAAGGGTGTGGTGCCAGTGTTAGGTAATAGCTATATTGGAGAATAAATAGGAAAACCTACTGAAATCCTAAATCTGTGTTTAATTATATGTTTCAGGAATTTCTATTACATCACCATGCTGAGGGATCCAGTGTCACGGTACTTGAGTGAATGGAAACACGTCCAGAGGGGCGCGACGTGGAAAACTTCCCTTCATATGTGCGACGGAAGAAGCCCAACGCCAGACGAGCTGCCTACCTGCTACGAGGGAGACGACTGGTCTGGAGTCAGCTTACAGGAATTCATGGATTGCAGCTACAACCTGGCCAGCAACCGACAGGTGCGCATGCTGGCCGACCTCAGCCTGGTGGGCTGCTACAACCTGACTTTCATGAATGAGAGTGAGAGAAACATGATTCTTCTCCAAAGCGCCAAGAACAATCTGAAAAACATGGCCTTCTTCGGGCTGACGGAATTTCAGAGGAAAACACAGTATCTCTTTGAGAGGACATTCAACCTAAAATTCATTTCCCCCTTCACCCAGTTCAACGTCACGCGGGCCTCGAACGTGGACATCGGCGAGGACGTGCGGCGGCGGATAGAGGAGCTGAACTTCTTGGACGTGCAGCTGTATGAATACGCTAAGGACCTGTTCCTGCAGCGCTTCCAGTACTCCAAGCAAGAGGAGCACCAGAAGAACCGGCTAAAGAGGCGAGAGGAGCGGCGACTGCTGCGGGAGCAGAGAGCTCACCAGTGGCCAAGGGAAGAGGCAGCAGAGGTAGCTGTTACTGAAGATTATAATAGTCAGGTCGCAAGGTGGTGATGCTCCCCCATCTTGCCTGACCAATGAGAGGATCAGAGTGTTTGTGCAACGTGGCTACCTGGGAATTAACCAAGGGAAACTTAATGCTTTGGTAAATGAGACCTCGTCTGACAACTCCCCCTCCTTGTCTCAGTTTTTCTTGGTTTCTGCCAGTGAGAATGTATTTTTTTCTCAATAGGTACTGGTCAGTGTTATTAAATGGCAGTAGAATAAGATTCCTGGCAGAAAAGACTTCCTTCAAAGGCCTAAGCTATGAGGATGGGTTGAAGAGAGAGAGAGATCCTTTGCATTAACAGATGTACCCTGTACAATCTGAGCTACTAAGACTTGTGCAGACAGGAATGAGAAATTGGGGAAAAATACCTGGCTTGGTTTTTTTGTGACATGAGAGCCCGTTTGTTTCGTACTGTTCATTACAACTGTAGTGCATAACTTTCTAGTAAATGAAATTGATAAGGTGCACACATTGCCCTTCAAACTTCTACATGCTGTGTTTTGATTAAGGGAAGAATTTGATGAGGTGATTAAGAAAGACATAGGAAGTGTTGGATTGGGGCACTTCTAGCTCCGTTCCAAAGGCCAGCAGTGAGAGATCGATTATAGGTGAGGTAGTAGAGGGATTGGCTTATTTCCCTGCAGGTCCTGAGAATACTGAGCCCAGCCAGGTAGGAACCATCTTTCTAAGTGTGTGTGGCAAAGGCAGGCTTTGAGAAATGAGGTCCACGTGGCAGCTGAGCACACATCACAGAGATTATCTGGCTGGGGGCAATGAAATCTGTCTTCACATTCACAAAAGGGGTCAAGAAAACTCCAGGGAAGAGGAGAGAGAGAGAAGGAAAAGCTCAAATATTAGTGCGGCATTTTCCAGATTTGCTGTAAAAGCCTGGAGATACATTGTCTGTGAAGGTAGGCAGGTTTATTATATTGTCTGTTAAAATACATTGATGCTGAGTGCATACAGCTTAAATTGGTTTTCTCTCTAACTACAGTAGTGGCTAGAAAAAAAATCAGCTTTCATTTTTATAGGATACATAATGGATATGTGGAAAGTCTTGATATTTATTACTCTATACGAGGGTTCTTTGTAAATTGATTGTTTTCATGATGAGAGATCTGTATCTGTTTTTCTTCCTTGTCTAGAAAATTATTCGATGGGTTCTTCCTCCATGTGTTCCATTCTTGTGGCTGAACTGCATCTGTTTATTCCAAGATTTTATGTTGTTCCATTTGTAATAGTGAAATTTTTTAAAGAGGGTCCTGTGCACCATAGATCTGAGAGTTTTTTTCCTTCTTCTTCTGGCATAAATGTAAAGCATTAGGAGGAAATTTCTCTAAGTGCCTCAACATGGCTGCTAAATCAAGATGCTGAAAGTATATTATTGCATGCATGAATGGCTTTTACCTTATAGATTTGCTAATTAGAAGTACTGGAGTACCTGATGTAGATGCACATTTCTCGCTTGTTTTCAAAATTCAAGGTTTCTATCCAGTTTGTTGAAAAAAATAATGTGTTACAGAAAAAAGAGGCTCAATTTGAAAATTTGTCCCTTCATTTCCAAGTTGGATTTTTTTTTTTTTTGTGCATGCTGTATCTTCTTCTGACAATGCTATTGCTACTTATCTATGCAGAATATCAAAAATAGAGTCTAATGATCCTGTTGAAAGTTAATGCATACAATAATACATTGAACATTGAAATATCATAATAGCATTAAGAAGTGAAGAGGGCTACTAGGATGATGCCTCATTATCAATGTAGTTCATTAACAATCTGGTGCTTTATGTCTGATTGTCAATGTGTTACTTTGGGGTGAGTAGCGGTGGGGTTTGGTCCCTAATACCTCTTCCACTCATGGCTCATGTACATCTTCTCCCACCTCTGCATTCAGAAGGGAAAAGGAAGATTGTTGTTCTCTTGCCTGAGCATGGGATGTCTGCCTTAGGGAAGAGCGAGGAGCTCCCTGGGTTCCTGGATGGTGCTGCTTGGATCCCCCGTGCCGGGAAGAGGCGCTCTGACACCTCACTTACGAATGGACACCAACCTTCCAAGACTTAAATTGAAATATTGACAACTGAGGCCTGAGGCTTGCTCTGGTTGTCCTGGCTGCAGGACAGTGGGGCCATGAAGAGCTAAGGCTCACTGGCACTATTGCACCTTTAGCACAGTGCAGGCAATTCACAGTGGTCTGACAGCAGCTGGCACCAGGGCTGTAGTCTGGGCTGGCCCTGTGGAGGGAAGGAGCATTCTGGTCGGTGACACAGGGATGATGGGAGCTGTTGCATCTCCCCATTCCTGTGCCCATTGCTACATCTTGCTGGAGACCAAACAGCATGAGAGGGGAAGGAAGGATGCTTTTGGCACCTGATGCTCAGTCTCCAGGATTCGCTGGTGCACTTCTTGTTCCCATAAGCACAGGTAGCTCGGGATGCTGGGGAGACCCTGAAGGGCAGGGGAGAAGCCAGCCACGTGGAAGGAAAGATACAAGGCCAAATTCACATTGAGGAGCAAGGTAAGCAAGGAAGTAAGATGAATTCCAACTCATCTTTTGTTCTGTAGGGCATCCTTTTCTTTTCTTCCTAAGTGCCAAAAAAGTTGTCCCTTCCTCACATACGTCTTTGCTCAGGAGGCCACCTCTCCATGCTGCTCACAGCAACTGGGACCCCATTTTTCATTTAGAAAGTACAGTGGTTTTCTTTTCGAGGGAGAGGAGACAGTGCTCAGAAATACTTCCCTGGAGCCTCACCAGTGACTGTAAGTATCAGTTTCAGCTGTCTAAGCACACCAACTGCTCTCCAGACTGTTCCTTCTGCCTGATACAAAACAAAGCCTAATTAGGAAAGTCGGAGACGTTTTCTAGGTGGTTTACATTAGCTTGAATAGTTTGGCAACATCTTAATGTGATGCCTAACCTTTTTCATCAGTCATTTCCCAGAAGCCAAGATTAGGGTCCTGAAGAGCTGTTAATGTGCTGTGGCATCTATGTTAATGGGATTTGCCTTAACGCTTGGGATTTAGTTAAAATTGAAGTTGGTTTGTTGGATTTTTTTTCCCTCTGTATCCTGTGTAACAGCCCTGGTTGTGGAGGAGTAGGTTTGTTGCTTTTGTTGCTTTGGTTTTTTTTTGGGAGGGGTGGGCAGTCAGCAGCTAAAGACCTTGTCCAGAGCCCTGAACCTGAAGGACCTGAGCCTTCCCTAGCTCCAGCTGCAGATCCAGCAAACTCACTGCACCAACAGTCCTGTTTTTCTTAGCAGAGTTTCCTTACACATGACAAATAAAGCAGTTTGGAAACACCTTCAGGCTGACTTCTAAGACACAGGCCTGCAGCTTTTTTCCTCTTGGGCACGGTGCCTGAAATAATGTAATGCAAAAGCAAAATAAAGGTCCTGCTTCATATCTCTGTTATTCCAGGTTTTCATTGCTCTGACAGCATAAACTTCACCATAATTACACTGACCCATATAAGATCAGGGAGCAGCATGCTTCTTTAAGCTTTGTGAGCAGCAATGCTATAGGATTTCTGTCCATCTTCCTGGCATTCTTTTGTTGCTTAAACAAGGCAATTTGGCTTCTGCTACTGTGGTGCTGAAACAAATCTCATTCTTCTGTAATGGAGATGTACTTGCTAATCTCTCCCATCACATTCCCAGCACTGCCTTTTCCAGTTATAATTCACTGTGGGCTTGGAGTGGACAAAGAAATATGCTGTGTCATTAGAACTTGGTCCTGATAATTTGATGTCTAGTCCAAGCACTCACTGTAAGGCCTTATGGCCTTATTAAGGAATGAAAATTTGTCTCTCTCTCCCACTCACCAGTGCTGACAGTAAAAACCTTTTTCACCATCAAGAGAAAAAAACCCCACTGTTTCTGATGTTTGGTATTTTCCACTGCTGTTGTGTGAATAGTGAGGCTGTCAATACCTTGCTAGGGATCCTACCCAGTATACAGCAGTTACTTGCTGTTCAGTAAAGTGAGAAATGCAGAAAAAAAAGCGATGGAAGTCAGATCCAGAGCCACACTTCATATCTGTATCATATCCACTCAACCAAAGGCAGGTCACATCACCTTTGTGTCTGGAGATGTTTCAGATTTAACATCCATGACTAAATCAGGAGGTTTCTTAAGTTGATCTTCTTGCCCGCACATGCTTCCTTCTGCCCAAGTGGGATCTTGTTTCCCACCTGCACTCTCGTATCAGTTATGAGAACTGCTGTTTTAAAACATATCTCACTTTTTCTTCTCCCTGTTGCTGTTTCCCTGATACACATGGAATTATTCTTTTTTTGGGTCTGGGATAAGGATTAGGTGATTTCCAGACTGGTGGGGAATACTGTGTACAAGATGAACGATCACAATAAAATCATTCAGCTGGAGTTGATGGCTGTATCCTCTATATGTGTGGGGGAAAAAAAAGAAAAATCACACTTGAAAAAGGTACCAAATTTTCACTGTAACACTTCTTGCAGTTTGGTTCCTGTAATATTTTCTTTGTCTACATTTTGTGGAGGGAAATGGGTTCCATGCCTGCAATGTCCTTGGCTTTCCTCTTGGCCATATCACTTGCTCTGTGATTTCAAATAAATGTTGGAAGAGAAGAAAAAAAAAAAAGAATTCCCATCAGTTGCCATATTTAAGATGAAAGAATAAATTAATAGGTTGTAAATTACTTTATTCTTTAGGAATTTTCCTTCTGTTTATGTGCAATAATGTTTGTGAATTCTGCTACTGAGAGATTGTATTGTGAGTAATCATATATACTTCCATTCCTATTTAAGATAGTTTGTAGACCTAGGGATTTTCATTGACATAAAGCACAATTTAATGAATTATTTAATGTGTTTAACCATTGTGATGTCAAAAGCAATTGTTTTCATATATTTATTTGTTGGTGATTTTCTGTAAAAATGATGCTCATTAAGAGATCTGTTAAAAATGAAGTTTTGTTGAATATTGTTGGGTCCATGAATTACTTATAAGAACAAATAAACATTGATTGTGTTTTTGAAACACCAAAGATTCTATCTTATCTACATAGCCATAAAAATGACTGAAAATGTTTCATGTCATAGTAAAAATCTACTGTGTGTTTTTAAGAAAATGTACATGGAGGAAAATCATGTTGCTTTAACTTAATATTTAATTATATTAGGACCCAATACCAAATCTTTTGCTTACAATTGGACTTATTTCTGCTCCAACAGCACTGAGGAGCAGTCCAAACTGTCAGGATAATCTCCTGAGCTCTGTGGGGAGTAATGAGAAGCTGAAGTCTGTTGCTGGATTGTCAGCCTCATACTGCTGGTTTGCTCTTGAAGTCTACCTATGTGAAAGCTGAGGGGTAGCCCTGTATGGTAGGGAGTGTTCTGACTCTCCAGAGTTTGTTGACAGTGATGAAAAGAGTGTTTATGAGTTAGAATCAAGGGAAAGGCCAACAATATCTTGGTAGGGGTCTGTTACAAACCAGCCAACATGTTGAAGAGGCAGGTAAAATATTCCATAAGTATCTGAGGGAAGACTCACAATTGTTAGCATTTGCTCTTATGGGGGAGTTGAACTTACCAGATGTCTGCTGGAAATACAATACAGTGGAGAGGAAGCAGGTTCCTGAAGTGTGTGGAAGAGAATTTCCTGATGTGTCTGGTGGGCAGCCTGAGCAGGGCCTCACTGGAGCTGTTGTTTGTGGACAGAGAAGGACTGGTGGGTGGTGTGATGGCTGGAGACATCTTGGGCACAATGATCACAAAGTGATAGAGTTTCCAGTTCTTGAAGAATAAGATTGAGTCAACAGAGCTGTTACCTCTGGTCCAGAGGGCAGACTTTGGGCTGTTTTGGTTGACAGAATCCCTTGGGAAACAGTCCTGAAAGGCAAAGAAGTCCAGGAATGCTGGACATTCTCCAAGAAGGAGGTTCTAAAGGCACAGGAGCAGACTGTCCCCATGTACTGAAAGATGACCCAGCAGGGAAGAACCCCAACCTATCTGAACAGAGAGCTTTGACTGGAATTCGGGGTAGAGACCTTTAGGAAAAAAGGCAGGTGACTCAGGAGGACTAGAAGGATATTGTGAAGTTACACAGGGAGAAAATTAGAAGAGTAAGAGCCTAGCTAGAACCTAATCTGGCTACTTCCATAAAATACAGTAAAAATGTTTCTCTAAATACATCATCAGTAAAAGGAGAGCTAAGGAGAATCTCCATCCTTTATTGGATATGGGTGACAGCAGTGACAAATACCTCAGAGGAAAGGCTGAGGTATTTAAGACCAGTTGCTCTGAGGATACCCAGCCCCCTGAGCTGGCAGACAGGGACCAGGAACAGAAGGTTGCCCCATAATCCAAGGGTTCATATTCAGCAACCTGCTACACTCTCAGATGCACAAAGGTCTGTGGGGCTGGGTGGGATCCACCTGACTGTACTGGGGGAGCTGGCAGAAGGAGTCACTGAGCCACTTTCCATCATTTATCTGCAGTGCTGATTAACCAGGGAGGTCCCAGTTGACTGGAGGTTGACAACTGTGACATCCATCTATAAGGAGGGCTGGAAGAGGGATCTACAGGCCTGTCAGACTGACCTTGGTGCCAGGGAAGGTCAAGGAGCAGATCAGCTCCAGTGCTGTTTACAGCATGGACATGACAACCAAGGCATGAGGCCCAGCCAGCATGGCTTTGTGAAAGGCACATCCTGCCTCACCAACCTGATCTCCTTTTATGGAAAGGTGACCCACACAGTGGATGAGGGAAAGGCTATGAATTAATAATAGGAAAAAGTAACATACAATTATACATATGCCTTGCAGCAGGATTGTGTTAGATAATGTTTTGCAGCCCCTTTTGGTGTCACCAATGAAATCCCTACTGCAACTATCCATTTTCCTACCACTTATATCACTTTGAGGAAACAAAAGGGGTGGATGGCTTTGTAATCAGATTTCTCTAGGTTGTGGTGGTGGTGGTGGTATCTCACTGCTTGCCTGGTTCTTGATGTGAAAATAACTTAGTTCTTGGGAGACAGATGTCAGCCTCCATAAACTCACACTGTTGTTTGAAACCAGACTCCCAGAACCTGCTGGCTGAGTGGGCCCAAAGGCTGGATCATGACAGGGAAGGCAAGATGGCTTGGCGAGTTCATAATACTGAGGATCAATACAGGCTGCTAAACAGAATAATCCAGTGCTGCTTATGGTGCCCTGAGGTTGCCCATCTGACCTCCAGCTGCTGCTCCAGAAGAATACAGGTCTCAGAACAGAGGCTTTGTCCCATATGTAAACCCTGTGCAGATGTCTCAGATACTTGCAGATGTCCAACCAGCAGTGTCTCTCCTTGAGAGTTATGGTTAGGAACCTACACTTCTCTTGCAGTGTCTGTAGCATTTGAGGGTGTCACTTGAGACAAGTGGTCTGCACACTGAAAGTCCATCATCTTCACCAGTTCTGAGCACAAAAATCACGTGTGCTGCAGGGTAGTGTGAGAGATAGAGGAGGAAAATGAAGATTGCTCTGTTTCTGGGTCCTGCACTTTAGTGAAAGCAGTTATAAAGCAGCAGCAGCAAGATGATAAGTGAAATAAATATCTGTATTGCTGATAAAAACTACTATATAGCCAAAGGAGCAATTGATTTTGCCACCAGGAGACAGATAATTTTTTGCCACATTCATGGTTACATTTCAAGAAGTACATCAGAATATTGTGCTGTTATGTGTAGTTTATGTCACAGTTAAAAGCAAGAGTGAGACTCAGCATTGCTGGCCAGTATTACATATGGCTGGAGAAAGGCCGCGATTTTTAAGATTTCATTCACATTTATTTCTATTTTACCTCTAGACGCTACCCAAGGCTTGACACCTTTCAACACTTCCTAAGAAATTTGTGAGTATGCTGCTCACATTCTGAATAAAATTCAGAGTATGAGCAAGGGAGATTAGATAATATGGAGGTAAGTCAATGACCTATAAATCTCACCATCCTGTAAGAGCCCAGAGGGATGTAAATGTGTAGCAGTGAGAGGACATAAGGACTGCCCTTCTCAGACGTGGAAGCTACTGCAGGAATTTTTCCACTGGGTAAGCAGCTCACCATTTCACTGTGACACACATTGGATGAGACTCCTTTCACATAAGCAGAGGTCAGCTGGCAGCCAATGTCCTCAGGCAACCCCTGGGGACCTCCCTGTGGGTGATGGGG